AACTGAAGACCATATTTAATACATAATGTGTTGTTTCTACTTTTAAAACCTAAATTTTATTGGCCTTACCTAACCACGGTGAGAAAAGGGAACTAAATTCCAGGAGCTTTGAGTGGATACATTTGCCCATAAGGAATTCTTGGACATTTGGATAATTTTGCAGTTTGGAGAATCATAAACTTACAGAGATGTTGGAAATACAATACAAAGAACTTATTTTTCCTGAATGAGCTAAGAGTAACATGCCAGTCTGGTGCCCTATCACCCCAAGTACTGTAGTGTATCTTTGCTAGAATCAGGGACATTGTCCTACAAAACCATAACAAAACCATCAAAATCAGGAAGTTAACACTGATACATAACTACACTCTAATCTTCATACCCCATTCAGATTTCACCACTTTTCCTAGTAAATTCTTTTATATCAGAAGGATTCAGCTTACAATTGTATGTTGCTCTTAGTTGTCATATCTCTGTACTCTCAGTCTGGAACAGATCCCCAGTTTTTTTCATGACTTTTATGACTTTCACACTCTTGAAGATTACAGACCAGTTATTTTTTAGAATGTCCCTCGGTTTCTGTTTGTATGCTGTTTCCTCATGATTAGAGTTAGTTTATGTATCTTTGGCATGAATATTATAGAAATAATGCCTTGTTCCTATAATTGATTCCTATCAGATAGTTTATGATTTGAGTTTGTCTCAGGATTGGTGATGTTCACTTTGATCATTTGATTAGGGGAATATCTGACAAATTTCTCCATTAGAAAGTTACTCTTTTCTCCTATTTTCTAGGGAGGTGCTTTGAAATTATGTAAATTTTCTGTTTCTCACCAAACTTTTAGTATATTCATTTATTTATTTATATCAGTATAGACTCCCAGTTTCTTCTTTTGTTCAATGGATTAAAATCTATGACTATCATTATTTATTTTGATGCTCTACTTATCCTTTGTGTGTTCAATGGGAGTGCGTTCAACTGAGTTTTATTCATCATTCGTTCAGCATTTTCCTGTTTTCAGATAAAAACAAAATATGCCGGGATCACCTAGCAGTTTACCTGACCTTGCTTGCCCTGGAACAAACCATTTCTCCGTGTTGCCCTGGTACCTTTTAGTGGAAAATGGTGTGTAGAAGACAAGATCTGGGAACTGTTACACTCATTACTATTAAGGTGTCACTGCTCTCAGACCCTTTCAGTGGATGGAGCTAGGGAATATATGTATGCATTTATATACCCAGAAATATATATATACACATTTATAATTATGTTTATTTCTCTGTGTATATCAAAACCATGGATTTAAATTACCTCTAGTTTCAGTCCAAAACCACAAGCTTAATTTTAGTTCATTTCCTTCTGTATTTCTACATTTCTTTCCTCTTATGGTGAGAAATGTGACTTTCTTTATCCTTAATCTATTTATTTATTTGATAAATATTTGATAAATAAATATTATTTGATAACCTATTTATTTATTTGATAAATTTATTTATCAAATAAATATAACCAGTATATATATATGTGTGTATATATATACATATATATATATATGTATATAACCAGTTCACCATTCTGCTACACCTTCTTTCCTAATACAGATGCCCTCCTTTCCCTGCTTGGACTCTGACACCTTGAGCTGGGTTGCCCTTTTTCAGGGTTGCCTCCCTCACCCTACTCAGCTTCTAACTCCTGCAGTAGATTGCAGGACATCCTCTTTTCCACGTTTGGGCCTGATACTCTGTTTTGGAGTGCTGCCGCCAGGACCCCTTCACCCCTTCTCCAAGGATGCCTGCCTTGTCCCACCTAATGGACTTAGAACTGAATTGTTCAGGAAAGGGAAGGGGTTAAACGTTTTCAACATAGTATTTTGAGGAACTTTATTTCCCAGTAACAAAAATGCAATTAATGTAAAATAAGGTTTACTCTAAAGAAATGTAGTTTACATAAAATTTTCTATAATGTAAGGAATAACTATAATAGGAAAACATTTGTATGGTAGCCTTGAAATTGCCTTCTGTAGTTAATACGTTAATCCGTGTCAGTATAGTTTTGTTCCTGTATTAGATGCCTATATCTGATTTATAAACCAATTTTATGTTATTTTAGAATTTTAAAAAATCATTATATATAGCATCCATAAAAAAATTGCATGTCACTCTAGTTATATTGCTTTCGAATTCAACTTGTATGTCATGAGAGTGCTGCTACCTGGTAGTTTTTTAAGTTGGGCAGTGCACTAGAGGTGTTGATAAAATATAGCTGTGAATCATGATTCAGAAAGAATAAAAATGCAGAGGTGTTAATGTTTGAAGAACAGTGACCTGAAAGGATTTGGTGAATTTGCTTGAGAAGTTTTCTATTCAGGCCCTCAACAGATTGGATGAGGCCCACCCACATTAGGGAGGGTAATCTGCGGTACTGTGTCCACTGCTTCAAATGCTAATCTTATCCAGAAGCACCCTCACAGACACATCTGGAAATAGTTTAATCTGGGCACCCGTTGGCCCAGTCAAGTTGACACGTAAAATTAGCTATCACAGTAGCAGATAATACTAAGTGTGGGATTAGAGTGAAAGTCTTCTGAGTTTTGTCTTTTTTTCCCTCTTATTTTTCTAGATGACCTCTACCCCTATTCTTTTCTTTTTTCTGTATGCCTTAAAAAATATTCTGATCTCATCCAGTCACATGTCTTTAGAATGGGATCTCCGTGCAGAGGACTTCTAAATGTGTATCTCCAACCCCGAATCCCACCTGGATTGACTATTGGATGTCTAAAAGACATCTCAAACTTGACATGTTCAAAAACAAGTTCGTAAAATCTCCTTCTCCTGAAAACTAACTTCTTTATCTTTTCTTTTCTCATTAATTACAACTCCCTTTTTTCTGTTGCAGATTTTTCCAGCTTTCTCTTCAGATAGATTCAGAATCTGACCACTTCTCATTACATCCATTATTAGCACCCTAGTCCTCTTTCATTATCCTCTTTCATCGAGATTATTGTGGCAGTTTATTAAGGGGTTTTCTTGCTTCCACTTCTGTTTCCCTTTACTATTAACAGTCAGAGCTATCCTTTAAAAAAGAAAATCAGGAGGCCGGCCCCATGGCTGAGGTTAAGTTCGTGCACTCTGCTTTGGGGGTCCAGGGTTTCGCTGGTTCGGATCCTGGGTGCAAACATGGCATCACTCATCAGGGCACGCTGAGGTGGTGTCCCACAAAGCACAACCAGAAGGACCTACAACTGGAATATACAACTATGTACTGGGGAGTTTGGGGGAGAAAGAAAAGACGGAAAAAAAAAAAGATTGGCAACAGATGTTAGCTCAGGTGCCAATCTTTAAAAAAAAAAAACCTACTCAAATGCTGTTTTCTAGAAAATAAAATAAAAAAGAAAGTCAGGCTATATCACATTTGTCCTTGGAACTCTTCAGTGGCTTCCTATCTCATTCAGTGTAAAAACCTAATCTACATTCTGCATTACAAGACCTATGATGATTTGGCCCTCTGCGCTCCCCCTTCTCCTACTCTTTTCTGAACTTATCTTTTGCACTTCTTCCCCTTGCTTACTCCCTTCCAACCACATTGGCATCCTTGCTATTCTCTGAACACACCATTTTTCCACCTTAGGGCCTTTGCACTTGCAGGAGTACACTTCCTCACTTCTGTCAAGTCTTTACTTAAAAGTTGCCCTCTCAGAAAGGACTTTCCTGGCCATCCTATGTAATCCACTTCCCTGATTTATTATTTTTCTTTACTGCTTATCAATATCTAATAGACCACATAGTTTAATTTAGCTTTATTGCTTATTAATTGTCCCATTCCCCAGAATTGAGGCTGGGCAGGAGTTTTTTGGTCCAATATTGTACCCCCAATGTCTACATCAGTGCTTTATTTATAGTAAGCATTCAGTATTTGTTGAGGAAATGAATCACACATAAACCATTCCACCAAAATGAAATAAAATTATCAGTAGACTATTCAAGAAAGTATGCTGAAAAATTTATTTCACAGGAAATGTGAAATAATTATTGTAGTTTTGCTTAAAATTTAACAAATAAGGAGAGTTTAAGAAAATGGGCACTCATACATGGCTGATTGGAGTTTAACTTGATCAGACACTCTGATTATGTAAGAATTGTTAAAAGTCTATAAAAATGAACAAATCTTAGGATTTCTACTTCTTGGGAATTTATCCTGCTAAAATGAGTAACTATGGAGTTCTTAGTACAAGCATGTTTATTTCAGAATAGTTTCATAAAACTGAAAAATGAGTAAATCTACAAAAATGAGAGTGATTTGGTAAACTATGGTATAAAGTTAAACAGTAGAATACTATGTAGCCATTAAAAAGTTATATTGTAAATTAATGTCATAGAAAGGGGTTTGTTGTATATGAAGTAAAAATAGTTTACAAATTAATATATATGTTATTATTCCACTCCCTGCTATCTCTCTTTTAAAGTGTAAATGCATAGAAAAATATCTGAAGTATCCAAGTATATTTCTGGGTTGTGAGACAATTTGTTTAAATCAACTTTTTTTCCTGGTGCTTATTTGTTTTATCAGATTTTCTTCATGAATAGCTAATATTAGGTGCAAACGCTCCTAGACTGCTCTTGCTGTCCCTTTTGCTTTATTTTTCTTCGGAGTGTCACTTTCTAATTTCTGTCCTTGTTACTTATGTTTTGTTGTCTGTCTACCACCACCCCCACTCAACAGACAGCTTCACTTTGTTTTGTTCTGTGCTATATCCCAGGATCCTAGGAGCGTGGCTGGCATATAGTAGGTGCTCTGTAAATATGTGTTAAATAATGAATGAATGTGTTTGTGTTATAAGGAAGAAACTTACAGTAAATAACATTTTGGAAAAATGTCACTAGAAAAAATAGTGCATAGAAGATAAATGCCATATTTTATAGCATACAATTATAACATCAGGAGGAATTTGTAACAGATAATTCAAGAATTTTAAGGAGATTTTTCCCCTTGTTTTTTCAAGGTTTCTAAATATTCTTTACAGAAGAAAGTGAGTGAAATGGTAAGGAAATTACAAAATATACAGCCACCCCCCAGATTAGTATATAATATGCATAGTATTTTTGTCAATACAAATGTGACATTTATAGTAAAAAAAAAAAAAGTTGAAACTGGATGTTAGTATCCGCTATAAAGGCTTGAATTACAATTTCAGATATAGCTTAAATGAGTTTATTTCACAAATTTGTTTCCAATTACATAGTATTTACATATCATAAAATAAATTTAGGCACACAGTTACCAAATTATTGGTAGAGATCTTATATTAAAATGAAACAACAAAAAAAGAACAGCAAAACTCAAAAATCTCTATTTTGATATCTTTTCTAGTTATTTATGCAAACATAGGTATTATAGTTTGAAAAATGGAAATAATATGAAGTAGCATTTGAATACTACACTTGTCATGTGGTACTCATCTTTTATCATTCAACAAGTGTTTATTGTACATTTCTCTTCTTATAGTATGTTAAAAATTAATGTTTGCATTTTTACTGCATAACATTTTATGGATTATTTACTTTCATATTATTTCTATCCCTGTTTGATTCAGAAGAATTTTTTTTTTTTCTGTATATTTGATTGAGCAAAATTCTCCTATAGCCACTTAAACTTCAGAGGGTTTCTTAGGTAGGTTTATGCAATTTCAATCCTTTTTTGGAGTAGACTATAACGTTTATATATTATATATATGAGAAGAAGAAATGAAAGATCACTCCTTATAACATTAAATACAAAAACATTAAGGCTTTTGCTTCTTAAAATGTTTTGGTATGTTAGAAAATAAAAGAGGCATAGAAAGATTGCTAAGCTTGATTGAATAAAAGATGTGAAAATTCTGTTGCTGTTCAACTGGAAAGAAGAAAGATAATATTGTCAGACTATTTTAAACTATGATTTTAATTAAGAAGCTGAAAAACTAGATCCCAGTTTAGCTTTAAGTACCATGACATTTGTATTGAAAGTCATCTTCAACGCTACAGTGGTTTTACACAAAATACAGCGAAATTGAATAATGTGCCCGCTGACCTGGGAGATAAGGCCACACGTTAAAGATCAAAGGCAACATAAAGTGTGTTTTGTTTTATTCCATTTTAAAATCTCATCAAACAGATACTTGTAATCTTAAAAAAAAACAAGGAAACATGCCATATACTTATGGTCGTTTTTGATCACTTCTGAGCATTTTCTTATTGTGAACTACAGCCTCTTAAGAACCTACTAAAATGATATTTGAGTTATAGTTATAATTTTTTCTGACAGTCCAAAGGATTAAATCACTTTGAACTAAAATAATTTTATATATTGATATGTACATTTAATATTTTTTGCCCATTTGGCAGAATATTATATGCATTTTAGATAATTAATTTTATAGTTAAAAATAATCTCTTTTCTAAACATTCTTACATTATTCTTTTTACATTATTCTTATATAATTCAGATGACCTTTTCTTTAGTCAAAGTGCCATATGGTATTCAGTAATTCAGTTAATCTTATTTTATTCAAATCAGTATATTATTTGACTCTATGGGCAAGACAGGAACTAAGATGGTCACGAGTCAAGGCAGGATTTTGGGGAACAATTGATAAAGTGTCCTGAAAGATAATTTTAAAAAGTAGTATTAAAAATCTTTTAAAGAAGTTTATGATTTCCTATAGGCAAGCCCTTAATTACTAGTAAGTTTCTCTTTTGGGAATTCAATAAGCTGATTTTCATTTAAAGGTGGTGATAAGTCTACAGATAAATTAACACAACTATGAATTGAAAGATTCCTCTCTCTCTAAAAGTACCCAAACCTTCCTTTGAATAATGATCACGTTGATCATTACCAATAAAACGAATGCAACAAAACATGTTAAAAATAAACTATAGCATATCAAATTAGCTGTTATTTTGATATGGTCATTGATGAAAGTCTTTTGTGTTCCTGTGGTTACTGGATAGGTGACTGTGTTGTGTAACTGAGTAGCTAACAGAGCTTAATGAATGAAGTAAAAACTTACCCAGCCATCTCTTAGTTCTATTTTCTTTCTTTTTTGTATATCACTTTCCTCTGAAGAAAAGACTTGTGAGAAAGATTTGTTTTTCTTTATTAAAGTTTCAGTATTGAAGGTTTTGATATAATTTGGAATTACCACCTATTTTCTTTCAGAGTAAGAATGTTTTTAAGACTGAAGACTTGTCTGGAAATAAGCTTCATGATTATAAATATTATGTATATCTGTACACACATACAAAGTGTGTGTAACTTTAGTTTTTTGAAGTAGTGTACACCTTATATTTGCAACTAAAAAAGTAAAAGTATCTTAAGAAAGATGCCATAGGTTTTTTTAAAAAGTGAGTTTTATGAACTCCATCGATTTATTTTGGGTTCATGTTAAAGAAATTGAAAGGTAAGTTGCAAAAATAGAAATGAAGAATATATGAAGTTTATTTTGGGGTTATGTTTTCCTCTAAAGTTTACTTGTAATGAACTATTTGTTTTAAGGGAAATTAATTTTATCTCCCAAAGTTTTCAAATTAATCTCTATAAGGAAATAAGGGGGAAATGAGCAGCTATGCCTTTTATTAGTAAATGTAGTTCTAAAAAGCTGTGTATAAACATTATTTTTAAGTTATTCCTATTTTAAATGCCTTGAGGATTTTGAGTAAACTTTTAGACTACACATACATAGTTAGGCATGTGCTTTCTTTTCTTTCTCTAGTCTTTGATTTTCATAGATTAAGTTTGTTTAAAATGATGTACACATGTATTTGGAAAGCAGTGAATCCTGACATTATTTTCTTGTGGACAGAGTCTTCGCATTTAGTAGTAAAATTGTGTAAAAGAAAAAATAACTTGAATCAATTCACAGAGGTAACAAGAACAAAAACAGTATGTACTTAGCTATTCCTTAGTTATACCAATAAAATCTTTATTTATTATGGTATACTATGTAATATTACAGTTTTAATAATAATAACACCATCAATTTATTTGTATTATTCTTTAAAATGTTCTTAGGTTTCTCAGGCAGGTGTTACCAATCTACTTTTTGTTGTTGCTTCCTAAAGAATTTAACCATTTGCTGACAGTCATGCAATTTAGTGGCAAACTTGACAACTGGCCTCTTCATCTCATTATCAAAACTAAATCAGGGCAGCCAACTAGGTTCATATATGAACAGTCCCATATGGGCCTGTATGAGCTAATAAGTTATTGGTGCCCATGTGATTTGATAGTCTTTATAGTATCTGTCACGGCTGTTGAATAGGCTAACATATTTGAAAATCAGATTTCTGTTGTGCAAACAAATTAAACTTCATTTTAATTGAATTCAACTTTGGCCTCAAGAAAAAGATGTTGGAATAGAGTATTACAAATTAATATGTATAGAGCTCTATATATGAAAATGCCTATGAAGTCACTTTGATCTTTGCTGCATTTCTAGTTATCAGGATTGTAAACCTTTGTTGGCACTGACAGCCTATTTTATTCACCACTTTTTAACTGGAAGGTTAAGGAAGTATTAATATGTAGTGGACAATATTCTCATGAAGGCTACGTAAAAATTGATTTGAATTGAAAAATTGAAAAATACCTTGAATTGAAAAAATACTTTTAGACCAATTTTCGGTGAACTTGTATTAGGTTTCTACACATCTGCTGAAAGCGAATGTAATTCTCTAGAGAATTAAGTGGTATTTTAGAGGAATAAAATATGATTCATTATTGTTCCTTTTCAGTTATTGATAACAGTGACTTCCCAGGTGGGCGTAAGATTTCAGGAATAAGTACACTTGTCAATTTGTTTGCATTTATAACTGCTACCTGATTAACTCCAATGACTAAGTAGTGAATTTGAAAAGTCCATAGAAGTGTGTGAGAAACTGTCAATTGATCTATCATAATCATTACCAATGATACTCTCACTTTGCTTAAAATCATTAAAAAGTATCTTTGAAAAAGTTATCATCAGATTTGCCTAGATAATATAGTTAGGTACAACTTAAATTGTCATATGTATTCCTTATTAATATTAGAGAGGGCTGTTCTTATTCCAGATAAAAATTTGTAACTATTGAAGGCAGTTTTATCAGTTAGGGAATAATAATAACAAAACATTATATTGTACTTATTATATGTGAGAGGCTCTGTTCTTAGTGCTTTATATGTATTAATTCATTTTATCCTCACAACAACCTATGAGAGAGATACTATTATAATCTCCATTTTAAAGATGGGGTAGATAATTTCCCAAGGTCACACAGCAGAATTTAAACATAGGCAGACTACCCTTTGACCACTGTACTATACTCCCTGTACTTTAGTTTTAATCAGTGTGAAATGGCTCTGGTTAACTTATGCAAAAGGAAATTTAGTGGAGGCACTTACAGTCCATTAGAGAGAGAATAGGTTTTGAAAGAACAGGGACCAGGGTAATTCCAGACTTTGTGAAGCAGGATGTAGGAATCCAGGACAGAGGTCTCATATCAGTCTGGACAGGATCACCACTAAACTTCTTTAGTTTTATAGTCTTTTTGCTCAAGATTCAAATTCCAAGAAGGTAGAAATTAGTTGGTTTATTTTGGCTAATATTGCTCTTCACGTGACTAGGGAAGAATAGGACCCCTGAATTTTAATCCTACTAGATTGTAATGAGGAAGAAATATTTCAAGTAAATACTTGAAATTGTAGTACCACTATTGGGTAAGGGAAATAGATGCTGGCCAGGCAAATCTAACAAATTTCCACTGTTGGAACTGTTTGGGACAGTTCATTCAGAAAACAATTACTGAGTGCCACTTGATGGGTCCCCACTGTTCTTTGTTATCATTGCTCATAGAAGCTGAAGCATGTGGCAAAAATGAATAAAGTTGTGAAACCAGTCAATGAGTCTGCTAATGCCAAATCAAGATCAAAAGATTTAAAAAGTATTATTGATTTCACTAACATAATATTTCTTTCTAAAATTTAAAGTCATATTTCTAAGTATGGTAAACAAGCTCCTTTAGCTGAAAGCAGCAGAGGCCCATATTGTGTTATACATAGGGTCCAATTTTTACCGACTATGTCTTCCAGCTTAAGTAGACTTTCTACAATACTTGCCTCCCTGTCACTCATAGATATTGTCCTCATCATTCCATTTTTTAATGCAATGAGAAGGTGCTATATTCATTAAAATTAATCTCAGAAAAATTACCTGAGTTTTGATAGTGCACATCGATGATTATGCCAGCAAATTTAAAGAAAAAAATTTCTTTCCTAAATTATCAAGAGTACTGCTTGAATATTCGCCCCGCTTTGCTTAGTCCTGGAGTGGACTATTAACTTTTCTATAAATAAAACAACCACTTGATTTTGAAAAAGAAATTGTAAACTATTTTGTTACAAGAAACAAAAATGCCTTAATTTTATGTAGATTTAGGAATATCTCCTAACTAACATTTCTTCCCTGTGGTGTACTCAGTACTTTTTCATGACATATTTATGTTAATAGCAAGAATTATTTAAAAAATAATAAAATTTTATATATGTTTAATATATATGTGTATATGTAAATGTGTGTGTGTGTTATATATGTATAACACTTAAAATAACTCTTCAAAATAGGAACAAAAAGTCCAGTTGCATCTTCTGGCTAAAGAAGATCATCAGAAGCAATTGAATGAAATTGAGAAATACTATGCCACAATAACAGGTCAATTTGGATTGGTAAAGGAAGATCACAAAAAGTTAGAACAAAATGGTAGGTGCTATCTTATTTATACTTATATATTTAATAGAGAATATTTAAATGGACTTATTTATAATGAGTAAATTAAACTTACCTGATACTGGTAATAGTAAATGGCAGTTTATGAATATTATTTAAATTCAGTAATAGTTATATACATTACATTGAGAGTATTTTCCTTGTCCATGTTAGTGATACTTTCTTTAAAGTGTGCATTGAATATAATGTTTTCCTAAGTGTCTTTCATATTGCAGTACAGGAAGCAATACAGTTAAACAAAAGACTTTCAGCTTTAAATAAAAAACAAGAATCTGACATATGCAGTTTAAAGAAGGTATGTTTGATACAATTTTGTAGTATTATGTAAAAATTATAGTCTAAAATAATTAGTTTTGTGAAATATTACTAGAGAAAGTTGGGTAGATTTTTCTTTTGGTATAAAGATAAAAAAATGTTTTAAATACAGACTCTTAAACTTTGAGTTATGATTCCACTAAATGTAATGAATGAATTTGTTCTAGTCCGTTCAAAACATTGTTTCATTGACTTTTGACTAGTGGCATGAATTCTTATGGTGATATGAATAGCCAGTGTTTGCTATATGTCAATCTCATTAGCACCATTGATTCATTCATTCACTCATTCATCCAGTATTTGAGTGACTCTACGTGCCAGGTACTATGTGGATACAGGTATGAAGAAGATAAAACATATTCCTGCTTTTTTGAAGTTTAAAGTCCACTGGAGGAGTTAGGCAGAAAACAAATAATCACACAGATCAAATAATTTAAAACTGTTGTAAATGATATGAAGAAAAAGTAAAAGGTGACTATTACATTGGAGGTAAAGGGATGGGAGATGAAAGAGAATAGTGTTTTGAGTAAGGGGAATAGCATGTGCAAAAATCCTTGAGGCAGGAAAGAGTTTAGTATATTTAAGGAACTAGAAAAAGTCTGGTATGGCTGGAACATCTTGAGCGAAGGAGTGCACTCGACATTTGTTGGTTGCATACAGCATCAGTATCCTCTTTTCTCCTTCCTAAACTCATCCAGGTTTTTGTTTTGATGCCTTCAGCTTTAGAGATGAGTCCTAAATTGGCAGAAGGTCATAAACATATTTCATTCTTGTGGCTACAGTCATTGGTTCAGGAGTGGACAAATGACCTTAACTAGAGGTAATAAACCAAGAAGAATGTAACCCCCAGTGTGGCTGGCAGTCATCGTACAGCCATGAGAAGCCAAAAAGGAGGAACCTGACAAAGTGGATGCCAGATTGGCGTGATATAAAGAAATGGTGTGATATTTTGAGTCACTGGATTGACCTATCCTACATTTGCCCTACCTCTAGACTTTTCAGTTATGTGAAATAAATCCCCATTATTAGTTAAACCCGTTTGGTTAGGGTCAGTTTAGTTTTCCATTATTTGCAACTACAGATATCCCCACTCTTAGAAGGGGAGAGTGGTATGAGAGGAAGAAGTAGGCAAAGGCTTATTCTTTGTACAGAGAATGACATCTTATTTCCCTTCCCTACTCCCCTCAAAGCCCCTCTGAAATAATACCACTTTGGACCACCTCCCTATCCCTGAGAGAATTAAGTGCCTATCTTTACTGACACTCTGCAAGTGCCTTGAAATAACATTTACTGAGTGCCATTTAAATAGTTGTTAATAAATTACACTTACTTTGTAGTTATTTAATTTACTGGTTTGCAAAATACCTTCCATTTGTCCCTCCAGATCCAGAGTTATCCATCCTTCTCTCTTTGAAAGGCTTACCTATGTAGAATGCATCAGTGCTCTCATATCTGGCTTCCTGTTGACTTGGGCCAGTGGAGAGCCTGAGCAGAAGCTAGAAAGAAGGAAAGAGAGTGAATCAATATATTTATCCCCCCCCACCCCGTTCCCTCCTGTGCGGTCACTTCAGGGTGGCCTTGTCCCGCAACACATCATTACTTCTCTTAAATTGGCCTACTCTATAGGACACTCTCTTTTTGGGTTCCAGTAACCTCTCTTATCCTTTTGGGATTAGGGGTGGTGACAGTTCCATTGCTGCTATCCTCTAGAACTGGCATCATTTTTTATGGTTCCTTTATATTGTGTCCACACCTTTGCAAATAAACCATCTTTAAATCATCCTAATTTATGTATACTGTCTGTTTCCTATTGGGATTCTGCCTATATACTTGGTTAGAGTATAACATTGGTGAGGCCAAGGTTGTGAATTCTGTTTCTGTATAGGCTAGTTGATTTAGTAGAGAAATTTCTTTTTGGCGGTCAAAGATTACATCCAGACCTCAAGTAGCCATTTGTCAAATACGTATCTTGGACTCAAAAGATAAATGAATATAAATGATGTTGTTCAGATACATCATTAATTTTGAGGAAAATTTAAATTTTGGGTCAGTGTTTTCGTGTTGATTCTAAAGGATTCTCCTTTTAAAGGGAGAAAAAAACACCCAAGCATTTATAGTTTTATGTATACATCGAATTTCACTATTTTTATTTATTTTACTTACTTAAATTAACAAACTCTACTTTTTAGAACAGTTTTAGCTTCACAGCTAAATTGAATAGAAATTATAGAGAGTTCCCATGTACCCCCTGTCCTCACATGCACACTCTCCCCCACTGTCAACATCCTGCACCAGAGTGCTGTATTTGTTAAAGCTGATGAACCTGCGCCGACACATCATCATCATCCAAAGTCCTTACTTTGCATTGGGGTTCACTCTTGATGTTGTACATTCTCTGTATTTGGACAAGTGTACAGTGACATGTATCCATCATTATAGTACCGTACAGAATAGTTTCACTGCCCTGAAAATCCTCTGTGCTTTGCCTTTTCATCCCTCTCTCCTCCCAACCCTTGGCAACCACTAATCTTTTAATGTTTTCATAGTTTTGCATTTTCCAGAATGAAATACAGTTGGAATCACACAGTTGGTAGCCTTTTCAGACTGGCTTCTTTCACTTAATATTCATTTAAGTTTCTTCTATGTCTTTTCATCGCTGATAACTTCTTTTTAGTACTGAATAATATTCCATTGTCTGGATGTACAACAGTTTATCCATTCACCTACTGAAAGACATCTTAGTTGCTTGTAAGTTCTAACACTTATGAGTAAAGTTGCTATAAATACCTATCTGTAGGTTTTTGTGTGGACATAAGTTCTTAGCTCCTTTGGATAAATACCAAGGAGTGTGATTGCTCTGTGTGGTAAGAGTATGTTTCATTTTGTAGAAACCGTTAAACTGTCTTCCAAAGTGGCTATACTATTTTGCATTCACATTAGCAATGAATGAGAGTTCCTTTTGCTCCACATCCTCACCAGCATTTGGTGATGTCAGTATTTTGAATTTTGCAACAATTCCAGTAAGTGCGTAGTAGTATCTCTTTGTTGTTTTGTTTGCAATTTCCTAATGACATGGTGTTGAGTACCTTTTCAAATGCTTACTTGCCATCTGTATGTCTTCTTTGGTAAGGTGTCTGTTCAGATCTTATTTTTTAATTGAGTTGTTCATTTTCATATTGTTGAGTTGAAGAGTTCTGTGTATAATTTGAGTAACAGTCCTTTATCAGATGTGTCTTTTGTAAATATATTCTCTAGTCTGTGGCTTGTCTTCTTGTTCCTGACAATGTCTTCTGCAGAGCAGAAGTTTTTAATTTTAATGAAGTCCAGCTTATCAGTTATTTCTTTTGTGCATCACCTTTGGCATTGTATCTAAAAAATCATTGCTATGCACAAGGTCATCTAGATTTTCTCCTATGTTGTCTTCTAGGAGTTTTATAGTTTTACATTTAGGTCTATGACCCATTTGAGTTAATTTTTGTGAAGGGTATAAGATCTTAGTCTAGATTCATTTTTTTGCATGTGAATGTCCACTTGTTCCATCACCATTTGTTGAAAAGATTATCTTTGCTCCATTGTATTGTCTTTGTTCCTTTGTCAAATATCAGTTGACTGTATTTATGTGGGTTTATTTCTGGGCTCTCATTTCTGTTCCATTGATCTAATTGTTTATTTTTTCACCAATACCACCTGTCTTGATTACTGTAGCTTTATAGTATGAAGTTAGGTAGTGTCAGTCTTCTGACTTTATTCTTCCCCTTCGATATTGAATTGGCTATTATGGATCTTTTGCCTCTCCATAAAAACTTTAGAATAAGTTTGCTGCTATCTACAAAATACCTTGCTGGGATTTTGATTGGAATTGCATTGAATCTAGAGATGAAGTTGGGAAGAACTGCCTCTTGAAAATATTGGGTCTCTCTATCCATGAATATGGACTATCTCTATGTTTATTTAGTTCTATTTGGTATCCTTCATCAGAATTTTATAGTTTTTTCTCATATAGATCTTATACATATTTTGTTAGGTTTATACCCAAGTATTTTGTTTTTGGGATGCTAATGTAAAAAGTTAATATGTTTTTATTTTCAAATTCCACTTGTTCATTGCTAGTATATAAGAAAGTCTGAAATAATAGAAAATATATATGTATATTTGTCTCTGCCCTCAGTTCCTGGCACAGAGCTCCTAAAACCCTTGTAATTTTCTACGTGATAAGAGCACTAGGAGCATCTTTTGTTCTAATGAGGTGACTCTGGGTGAACTCCTGGCTGGGTCCTGGATGGGGGCTGGTCAAGAGAAAAATCAAGCCATGATTAGAAGCTTGAAATTTTCAGCCCCACGCCTGCATTCCCCCACTTCTCCAGAGAGGGAAGAGGGACTGGAAATGGAGTTAATAATCAATCATGCGTATGTGAGGAGGCCTCCATAAAATCCCCAATAGTATGGGGTTCTGATAGCTTCCAGATTGGTGAACACATCCACATATGGGGAAGATGACACACACCAACTCCATGGGGACTCCTGTACTCAGGATCCTCCCAGACCTCACCCTGTGTATCTTGTCATTTGGTTGTTCATCTGTATCCTTTATCATATCCTTTAATGAACTGATAAATGTCAGTAAGTTTTCCCTGAGTTCTGTGAGCCACTCTAGCAAATAAATCAAACCTGATGAGTGGGTCATGGGAACCTCTGATTTATAGCCAATAGGTCAGAAGCACAGGTGATAACCTGGATTTGCAGTTGGCATCTGAAGTGGGATGGGAGCAGTCTTGTGAGACTGAGCCCTTAACCTATGGGATCTCATGCTGTCTCCAGATAGATACTGTCCAAATTGAATTTAATTGTATGATACCCAGCTGGTGTCACAGAGAATTGCTTGATGGGGGGAAAACCCCTACACATTTGGTGATGAGAAGTAACAGAAGAGAAGTGTTCTGTGTGAGTAGTAGAGGACACAGACAGGAGAAAACAGGAGGA